AGTCATCCACGAAAAAATTGCGTCAAGGATTGAAATATACCTGGATTAAAAAAAAGTCTGAGATATCAACGGACGCAAGTCGCATTCCCACAGTACTTAATAGGAGTGAAGTCACACACCGACGACCTTTCAATCTAATAAAACAATTAAGTGAATTTTTCATTTATTAAAGCGCACATTGCTTCACAGATAATCTAGTAGACACAAATGATAAATTATGGAACATGTATTTACCTGGTAAATGGCCCGATAATGGGAGGTGTCAGATCTGTCATGGGGACATGAGGCCTCCTTCCTCTCCCAAGCCCAAGGAAAATCAACTTGATGAATAATTAGCTTGATCCGAGCATCTTAAATGGACCGACTTCATGTTTAATCTAGAATTAATAATACGTACATGCTTTTACCACACGTTTTATTAAATCTTATGGCACAGTAAGATTGCAGTTCTTTGACCTCTGTCTATTTGAATAGGGTGTGGTTTAGAACAATACATTTCTAATTGGTTTCTTCAGATCCCACTGATTTTATTTTAATAATAATTCATTTACTTCTGTTTCGTCTGGAAATTAGTTAAATGAACATTGTCAGATTTCACACAGTTTCTTGAAAAAAATGTAATCTCTTGAAGCGCTTTGTTAAAATAGTCGAAATTCGTATTATGTTCTAGCGTCGTTCATATTTCAGATCACAATTACAATAAACGGGAAAAATAGTCTCTTTTTGCATTTTTTTTTTAATTTATATATTATACATTTTTAATAGTTGTTGCATTTTAACAAAATAAATATTAGAAACTACAATAATAAAAATTATTACTGCACAAATTTTAAAAAATTATCAATCTGAAAATGCAGTTTTTCAACTGTTTAACATTTTCTATCAAGCACTTTATTATAATGTAAAGAAATATAATTTTTTTTTGATTTAACTTTTATAAATTTGCACAATCCTAAAAAAGTATTGCAATACTGTTTTTCTACTCCCACATCTAAACCACGGATTATCGTATATGTTTTCATGACGCTAAGTGAGTGTCTTGACAAACCGTGATTAATATGCGTACTAGTTATGTTGCTAATAGCAACTGTCGTATTAGTCACGAGCTGAAGTTAGCTTTCTGTCATTTAACTTTTAATTGTAATTTAACTTTTAATTTAAGTAAATCTTTTGTGGTAGTCGCAAAAAAAGTATAGTATGTAACACGTGCATAAACTTCTGTAGACATTCGATTTATTAAACACTCGCTCGCTCCACTGCGCTTCGCTCGTGCCTAATAAAACTCACGTCTATGGTGGCGTTTATAGCACTAGTTACATAATATATTTACTCTTTTTTATAAAAAACATAATGTCATAAAATAAATCTCTTTTAATCTAAGTAGTAAATAAATTGTTATTTCTATAAGGTTTTAATAATTATATTCTTTTAATTTTCGGCAAATAGACAAAATTATTAACATTGAAGAAGCAAAAAAAAAATTGTACCAACTTTTTTAAATTCATGCAGCTTTACGTATATGTATTTATAATTTTCTTGTCTAACTTTGTTTTTAATGTATTTCTTTTAATAAATAAGACAAAGCACTTTGTTTAAAAATTTAAAATTTTGAATTTAAAAAATTAAAATAAACAGCTAATTGTGTAAATAAAAGAACATGTAAGAAATGATGCGGCAGTAGGTATAATCATTTTACAAAAAAAAAGAAAATGTCAATTATGTGTTATAAATTTACAATTTAATGTGCCCATTATTATTTTTTGCGATAATTTAAAAACACAACTCTGTAAAAATTGTCACAAATCGCCTACAATGCGCGTCCAACGCTATAGAAAGTGTGCTCGATACATTCTTAATATGGACCTGCGAATTTTAATAATCTACCTACACTAAAACGTAATCAGTTATGTATTTTAGTAGGTGCAAGACTTTGTACTAGGTAGTAAAATAGTAGCTAGAGGTTTTGGAATTTCAATATAGAAACTACATAATAAAAAACACTATTAACAACAATTTTGATTACTATTTTTTTGTTTAAAGTATTGTTCAAATAATGACTAAAATATAAACAGTAAAAAAATAAATTTTGCAAAGTAAACAACGCTTACCTAAAGTCAATTAATCATGTTTAACAACAAACTCCGTTTAAAATATTTACGTTGTTCGAAAGAAAAATCGCATTTGGTTTACATGACGAGTAATAACTTACGACACAAGTATTAAAACTGATAAGTAATTAAGATGAATTAAATTTTAACTTACCTGACAAGCAACAACAGAAACTAATAATTTAAATTAATCACTTCATTCACAGGTAAGATGAAAGGAGAAGTCTTACAAAAAACAATAATAAATATGAGTCATCTTTATAAATACACCGCTACTTATAAACCTTATTACAAACTTTTTCTATCCCTCACAAACTAGACAAAACAATAATCGTTTTTAAGAAGTCGTTGTAAAACTGCACTTATTATTATTATTTCTAATCTATGCTTATGTTTTCTTAAAACTTGTTAAATTTTAGATTTTGGTTTACGACTACTGTGGTAAGTTTAAGTAAGTGGGCGCCATCTGTTAATTGTGAGAGTTACTGCACAGAACACCGACTAAATTGTGATCTGTAATCGAAATGTTTTTCATTGAAGATATCGCCACTGTCAGTTTCAGAAAGTAAATTTTATTTTCTGATTCCACTATCTTATTCATGTGAATAAACTCTTAAGTAAAATTTTTTTTTCAACTAAATAGGTTTTTTGTTACAGTAAGAAATGGTGGAGGTGCCGGGAGACCCCAATCATACCATTAGATAATCCAAATTAAAGGAATTATTTGCCTGTTCAATTATGAAAATGTTGTATTTTAAAACTTTAAAATTAGAAAAAAATTACATTCAATTGAGTAAAACTTTAAGGGCAAGGGGCGAAACTTTTGAACCACTAAACGCGCTGTCGACGAATCCAAAATATGATTATTACCAAGTTTATGTAAACAAATTATGTTGTTAAAATTTTGACCTAATTTTAAAAGAATTCTGTCAAGGTTAACTCTAAAACAATAGTTTAACGTCTCCAAGTACCATTTTGTTCAACCCTAAAAACCTGCGGTAAATTAAGTTAGAACACCTTTTATTTTTTTTACAACTTTTAGAACTATTGATGTTGATGCCAATTCTAGTACCTCTGAACATGTTTTGTTGTATTAAATTGGTTAGTCCAATAAATGCAGTTCCTAATTTAAGTTATTAACTTTTTTATGTTAGAAACAATAAACATCAATGATTAACGTCATTATCGCCTGACATATAGGGACGACTATAATTTGGTAATATCGCTTTTTTTATAGCCGCTTATGTATTTGTATTTTCAGACACTATTAACACAATTTTATTTTTTTTTCTTGAAAGTGAGACCTCTTTCAAGGAAAGATTTTCGCTTATAGCATTTTTTGTTAGAGATTAACAATTTGATGTAATTTAGCATTTTTTATGTCCACCTACTAAATTCTCTGTATTTTAAATTTCTTTAGAATCCGTTGGCAAATAATGGAGATATTAGATCTGAAAGGTAGAGCACTCTGTATACAGTTCTGAACAATTGATTCGACATTTAAAGAACAGTGTATCTATAATTATTCACTTTTCAAAAAATGGGAATTGCGAAAAGCATTGCTTTAAAACTCTTTTTTTTACATAATATTATGTTTTCATTATCATGCTGGTAAATAACAGAGAAGGTCAACAAAAAAATTATAACTAAAATCGATTAAAAAAGTATAAATGTTTGATTGTTTGCAAATTAGCAAAACTGGTAATATATTAAAAAAATAATTCTCTATTGTTATTTTAAAATTAGCAACTGACTTTTCATTAAAATTAATTTAAATAAGTATCTACCTATTTGTGTATTTCTTTAAAGGAAGGTTATTTTGTTTAGAAAATACAAAATATTTAAACATTTTATATATGTCTGTTTCTTCACGTAATCGTTGTCGTGGATAATGTTATAATGAGTTGTTTTCACCTAAGTGTATGTGTTTCTATCTAATATAATATTCTTTATAAAAGTATATTACATATTACATAAAACAATGCTTTCTCTAGTTTCGAAATCTGAAACTTGTTTTTTTTTTATACCAAAGACAGTAGATGAAAAGGCTTTAGCTCGAACATTTTGAATATACATGGAGAGTGTTTTAAGATTTACATGTCGAAATACATACATTATTCGAATTCGATTAGTCTATCGATTTGAGCAATAAAAAATTAATGTTAAGAGAACATAAAAACACAAAAACATAGTAAATGTAACCTGCAACTGCAGCAACCGGAAATTGAGTAGATGTATCCGGTTTTTGTGATTACCAGTTTAAAAGGTATATTGTGGCAAGTAACTGTTCTAAATTTTATAATATTTGGTCAAATAGTTTCGAAGTTATTACAAAAAAAATCTAACATATCCCAATTCCAAGAGTTGCAAAATTCTTACCAGTACCTAAAGGTAGGACACAAGTGATTATTTAAATTAACTTAGGGCATTTTTGAGGTTCAAATATTGCTTCATATTTATGAATAACCCTATATGTATAATCTAAATATAATTATTTAAGTACGGTTTACAAAATAAATGTAAAAACAAATCCGAATTAAAATACTGAATTACTGAAATAAGTTCTCATTAACTAAAAGTTAAATCGGTTCGTTTAAAAATCAGACAAATTCAGCTTCAATAAGCTTCAGAGATGTTAATCTAATCTCGCAAACTTTTGCATTTTCAGCGGAGGTGGAGCTTGATAATACGAAGGGTGGAGTTATAGGTTACAGGGGTGACGTTTATTAGGGATGCTGAGCTTTATACCGCTTATATCTTAACTTGTCATTTATCACACATCACTGTCACCGTAGATACAAGTTTACTCAAACATATCCATTAACACTATTTAAATATTTTTATATTAAAGTGATTAAATACAGTTGCGTCTAATTTAAATTGCACTTAATCAAAGTAAACTAATTTTTGGAATGTTTTTAAAATGTGAAAGTGAATTTTAATGGACTCAAGCATGCAAGAGCATAAATCGTTTCTGATAAGAGACCTTTTAGGAGATGTATTAAGTTCCAATGAAGGTAATTACTTTTCCATCAAGCAATAAATTAATTTTATTGATGAGCTACTGTTTGATGTCTCTGAGTGTGAATAGTGACTAATTATGTAATGAAGACGTAATCACCGTTTTCTTGACCTTAAACTGAAGATGTACTATTAGCATGCAGATATTTAATTTTTTTCTTATACCGGATCAAATTTAAAAGGTGAAGGCAAAGGTTAACTCAGTGTTTCCTAATATGTAAAAAGATGACATCAACTGAGCGTAAAAGAACAAAAATGCAGGATTACTTTCATTTTTGTTAAAAGCAACAATAGTTACAGAGGAATTTAGTTTTTACATTTTCAATAAAATTGTGTTTTTTATTTCAGCAAGTGAACAACTTGTCTAAATTCTGAAATAACAAAAACGGAAACACTACACTTCTTAAGTAAAATATGTTTAGGCAATATAATAGTTACTTAGTATACAATACCATAAAGAATTTTTTTATCTACGAGTGAAAAGGTTTAGTTTACGAGTGACGAAATCACGAGTGGACTTTTTTCAAGAGTAGATAAACAATCTTTATCGTAAAATATTTCGTTTTATTTTGTACTCACCTATCAAAATTTCTTGAATCTAAACAGTAGATAAAAATTACTTTATTTCACTAGATGATAAAAGACTACTTTAACTACTGACATTAGTTGCTAAAGCACTAATTAACACTGAGTACAAAATAAAATTAGGAGATATTTTCTTAGTATCCTTTTTTTAGTTCAAAATTCAGTAAAATTTAGTAAAACCGGGCATAAGATTAACTGAAACATTTTAAATGCTTACAAAATAGTTGAAGATTTTTTTTTTAAGCATTACATAAAAAATAAATACAGTAAGAAATATAATTCCTGATATTTTAATGATGAAAATAAAAAAATTTGTAAATTTGCATATACATAGTTACTATTTATCGTCATTTTATGACTTCGAGTATAAAAATGTATACCTACTTAGTAATAATGGAATAGTACTTGATGTGGAAAAAGTTAAAAATAAATCTCCATTTTGTTGTACTTGTCCATGAAATGTTGATACTTGATTCCGTCGAAAATGGTATTATAGGACACAGGATAAATAAAACTATTAAATTCCTCGCGGCGATTCTTTATTTTATCATCTTCAGGCGAAGAATTCTTGTTGGTTAAACACGGGAAACATGGCACAGTCAAGGAAGAACCGAGATTCAAATCAAATTTAAACTCTGAATACTATACAGGCTGCGCCAAAACTCGCGCCCCAGAGAAAAATGCCATGTCAGGAAAGATACCAGGAACATAAAAAAAATGTGAAAAAACTCTATCTACAAAAAAGTTATGAGTGTTTAAATTTTGCACTTTGACTCTATTTCTTGGAAAAATATTTTTCCATTTTTTTTGCTACAGGCTATTAGAAGAGAAAACAAAGAAGTTGTATCCAAAATTGTAACTATGTTTAATATGATTTGTGGCTTTTATTGGCAAAATTTTTGTACCTTTACTAAATAATTATAAAAAACATATACAGGATCATCAGTATCATTAAATAATAGACATAAAAAATGTCAAATGTCAAAAAATAATTGTGTCAAAATTTTTTGACAGATAGAATGTTTTAAACATTTTTTCCATGTTTCTGCTATCTTATCTTACTTGAAATTTTTCTCTGAGACGCGACTTCTGACACCCTGTATTTCGGTAACTAAGAAACTTTTATTATTTTTTTTTGACTATAAGTTATTAATTGGCATAACCTGACCTACCCTTAAATTATGCGTAAAAGTTAAGACTCATCTTATATACCTTTTAAAAAATATGACAATAAAGAAAAATAATTTTTGCTCAATTAGACGCTATTCGATTGCTTACTACGTCTGTTTCCAAGACAGTAAGTTGTATTTACTCGTTGCTATCCCAAACTCGTCGGTAAGTATTTTTGTTTATTGTTGTTAACGACAAACTCGTCGATAAGCATTCAAAGCTGTCGCCAAAGTATTTAAAAATACTAACAAAAATCAATCGCACAAAAAATGTCATAAGCATCACGAACGGTTAGGATTTACCCATCTTCGTTTCGCTCCTCCTCCAAACAATTGTCTTCGATCGGTAAAATGTCCTTACCGTTCTTGATGCTTAATATATCGAGAAACCAAGATAATTTGTAATCGAGTCATCTTTGGATCCAAAAACGTCTGTTTTTGAACTAACTGCACATAAAACGTCAAATAAAATGATAAGTTGAAAGGTAAAACGACAGAATGGGCTAGAATTAGTCACCGACGTACTTGTATAACAATAGGACCGTTTTTTTAAGGTAAATTATAAATTTAGTTATAAAATAATCGTCTTTTTAATAATGCCATTTTACTTTTTGGCTTTACTTTGCTTATATTTGATATTTCACAGACATACGTTTTCAAATCTAAAGATGACTCGATTACAAATTATCTTGATTTGTCGATACTATTAAGTCAGTCTCAATGCTCAAAAATTATTTTCGTTAATTGATTTTATAAGTAAAGAACTAAAGTGTAAGAAAACAAATGAGAATTAAAAGGAAAAAAAATTGAAACAGATATCAAAGATACACTTTTTGAAGTGAAATAAGTCACAAATGAATATGTTTTGTATAAAATGAAAATGATGTAAAAGTAACTTTATCTCAAAAAAATATTTTTAGAGTGAATGCATTTTTTTTAATTTTAATTAAAACCATTCAGTATCAGTAGAATTTATTGTACCTATGTACTTTTTTTATTGAATAAATAGGATGTAATTTAAATTGTTAGTGAATTTGTATAAAAATTGTGTAAATCATTGTCAAAACAGTAGATTTTCCAGTGAAAAAAGGAGGATGTCCAACTTATCCTTTTTTTTCAAGTTACACAGTGAAGTTTAAATAAAATATTGTTGGCTATTGGAAACAATTATGCAGTTTACATTCTGGTAAACTTATCGAAAGGCCTTAGTAATAGCGTAGCGCTTTTAAGACCGCCAAATTTGTTCAAAAAAACTGCTACTTGTTTGAATTTTGGATTAAAACTTGAAAATGTTTGAATTATACGTCTTTTTGTTGTAAAATTATCCAAGGTGTTTCCCTTTACTCTTAATGTAATTGATAATTCCTGTTATAATCTAAAATGTTGCAAATGCTGGTGGCCGGATAATTAGTCTTACAATGCGGTGTTAATTCTAATTTAATTGCTTTCATGCAGCAGAATGAATGTTTGAGAGGCACCGGCGAGTGGCTAAGCGACCCCAGGCATTAATTAAGGTCCGATCCTTCACCACTCCACAGCCTCATTTTTACGCAAACCCACGAAGAGATTCTCCAATTAGACCCCTGTTGTCTTATATGCGTTTTGAGCAGTTTATTTCCCTTTTTAATGAATAAACTGCTTTGTATTCCGGTAGTGCTCCCGGCTGATAGAAGAACAAGCCGCACTTAAAGTGTTTCCACTCCTTTGAACAAAACGGGATAAAATCCACCCTTAACTCAAAAATTATCGAGTTATCAAGCTGAAAATTTTCTTCCAGCAGGAACAGAAGATGTCGAAACTTCGGACCATTTGGAGTGCGAAGGCGAGCGAGGGACATACCCTTCGACGGTGGGCGGACCGGAAAATTCCTCGGAGGCGGCAAAGGGACGCAAACCACGCCGAAGACGAACGGCTTTTACTCATGCGCAACTCGCCTATTTAGAGAGAAAATTCCGGTGCCAGAAATACTTATCGGTGGCGGATCGCAGCGATGTTGCCGATGCTCTGAATCTATCGGAAACTCAAGTCAAGACCTGGTATCAAAACCGACGGTAATTTGCCCTTTTTTCCTCTTCATTTTACAATTTTCTTGTAAATAGGACCAAATGGAAAAGACAAAATCAACTCAGATTGGAACAACTGAGACATCAAGCGTCGATGGAAAAAGATCTACTAAGTACAGGAAGTCTGCGAGGGGCAGGTGGAGATCCTACTCCTTGCTGCCAACCTGCTGTTATTCCCCGGTATGGAGCACAATCACCTTGCAGTTTTTTGACCACGGCGGCAGCTGCAATCTTTCATAATGTTACATACGTTCACGGATGTCAACTTTAGTTGTAAACGTAAACATTTATTTACACACATTTATCAATAGTAGAAGTATGTGATTAATGATTATTACACTTTTAAAAAGCAGTTTTTGTATCTTTTAATGACAAATTTATCTAAGATAGGAAAGTTTTAATAATCTTGTTTTTAATTTGTTTGATGTTAACATGTTATTTATAGTTGTATCAGTAATTATGACTTGTGTATATAAACATTAATTTGTATAATGTATAAATGCAGTAAATATAATTTATATTTTATATCTTAATTAATTTATTCAGAACCTTTACATTAAAACAACGATTCCACGAATTCTCAAGTGTTTAGAAGAAAGTAATGTAATAAATTAAACAAAAATTTCAACATTCACATGACACAAATGACCCTTTACTTTATATAAAAGTAAAACACAAGCAATTTACAACGCTCTGTATCTATGTAAATATACCGGGTGTCCGGTCTCAATCGCGAAAATAGGGAATTAACATGGTATTGTTCATTTTTGCTGATTTCTGCTCGCCAATACAATATATAAGTAAGGTGATGGTATACCTATGGAGAGATAAAATTATTTCGTGTCAAATAATACAAAAAATAAGAATAAAAATGATATTTTTACTTTAAAATACAATTTTCAAATTTCTCAATATGTAAGTAAAATAAGTATGCGGTATACTTGTTGTCAAAAACGTCAAAGTTTTTTAGAATTTAATTGGAGTTAATAATTAATAATTACTCTAATGCAGAAAGGGCTTTTGTGTTTAAAACATATTTGATTTTCTTTATGACACGTTTTCTTGTTTTTAATAAGAACTGATGAAAACATTATTACTTCCCTATGTTTGAGTTTTTAAGACCGGTCATCCGGTAAAAACAAAGAAAAATTTATTATTTTAATAACATTCCATGTTTGATATGCATTTTACTTTTCTACATGAATCGTTAACAAAACCTAAACTAGAAACAGCTACCAGTCGGTTCAGGAAAATTAAAACTTTGATTCAGAATTAAACTATACGTAATTCAAACGAAGATATCATATAATTTGCGTTGCATTGTTCTGTAGATCGTCTTAAACCTTTTAAAAGATTAGTTATCTAAAATGAAGCTAAATTTTTAGAATTCCAGAAAATTGATATTTTTGTTACAAGTATCTAAAACACAGTTTTAGGACGCGGCGAAGCCGAGTCTGGGTCAGCAGATGGGTCCGCAAAATCGTTTTAGGTACATATGTGTTACAAACAAAGTTTTTTTGTTAAAGCACCCAAAAAACGAATTTACACCTCTTATTAATTAAAAAAAAATTGCCATCATGGTAACCAAAATGACTTTTTGTCCGAAAAAACTGTTTTTGGGGACTGAGTACCAACCTGAAATAACCATTTTACGTAGTATTTTATTGAGTCCGTAAAAGACTAATTGTAAGGACCCAAATGAGTCTCTAAAACAGCTATTTCCGGGGGCGTATACAAAAAAGATCATAATTTGTACGAAGTAGTATTTTCTCAGAAGTTATCATCTATTTTTTTTTATTTTGAAGAAAATGATTGGTTTTCTATTGAAGCATGTTTAACAATTATTATTTTAAAAAACTATTTAGTATTGTGAACCAAAAATTTTTGATTCCAGATAGAATAAAATTTTTACAAAACTAAAACAAAAAAAATTGCAAAAATAAAATTTTCCAATTTGACTGTGAAAAGCAAACATTGTGATATGTCATTTTAATTGTCAAATGTGCTTAATTTCATCATTAGTTATATAATATGTATATATATATAATAGATTTAAATTTCGAATTTGATGCCTATGCTTGTCACAACCACATTGGAAAAAATCTTGTATGGAACACGATGCAAAATGCTTTTTTCACACGACTTGTTGGATCAATCTTTACACTCGTGGTTTTTACGTCTAGTGAAAAACACGCTCATTTAGCAACTTTTTGCATAAATAGCTGTTTAAAAACAGTAGCATTTTTTCCGAGACAACAATAAAATTTTCAAAATACAAAGTAAATTTAATTGTTTTTAATAATACTAAGATATAAATTTGTGAAAAGAGTTTAAAAACCAAATTTAACTATTATTATTGTTAATAAATAATAGTTATAAAAAAACGCCGCAAGCAAAAACTTCATGATTTTTAAAAATATGACTATCCTTCTTGAAACAAAGTTTCCGATATATTTTACCATTTTAAGATTCTTTATTTAATTCTCTTTTAAAAAGTTTTAGTACCATTATGCCTGAAACCAATCGTTACTAAGATCCTAGAAGGGTACTAAATTCCAAAGTCTATCTCCTCCGATAATTTATCACTCCCGGATTTACCTCTTCTAAATGCGTAGTCATCTTTTTTAACAATTGTAGAGAAAACAAATATTTTACACACTTAGTAAGAGAATATTGCAAGCTTGGTAATATTTTTTCTCTAGATAATTTAAATATTTAAATTAGATAATTAGTTTGTTATTGTACCTGTTGATCTCAACACCGTTTCAGTAAAAAACATTTACTACTGTTTCAAGATTTATACAGGGTGCGTCAGAACTCGCGCCACAGAGAGAAATGCCATAAGATATAGTCGTCACCAGGAATATTTGAGATTGACGTATGCAAAGCTTTATTGAGGATTAAGCAGCCTTGCGGTCGGCCGTAATAATTTTTCACTGCTGGTGGTACTACCCTGAATATTTACAAAAGAGCCGTATTCAGAAATTTTCGTGGTAGGCTTTTAATTTATTACAGGCAAACATTTGGGAATTTATATATTAATTTAACATTAAAGTGATAATGCAGATTTGTAAATAAACAATCTCAAAATACAGCTGAATATTAAAATTATTTTTTTTTTTTTATGAAAGCCCAAAAACAAATTTCTGTTACGGACCATCTTTTCCTACAAACCCTTGAAACGTGCCTGTCCTAAGAAATGCAAATTTGTTTATGGCATCTCTACCGCAAGCTCCATGAACCACCTTGGGGGGTAAACGTCTTATTCTATAATGAGTCTCAAATATTGTTGGTACCAACTATACCAGGAATATGGAAAAAATGTTTAAAAAATTTTATCTAAAAAAAATTCGAAGTTATGAGAGTTTAAATTTTGCACTTTGACTCTATTTATTTCTGTTGCAAAAATAGTTTTTTTTTGCTACAGGCTATTAGAAGAGGAAACAAGGAAGAAGAAAACAAGGAAGCTGTATCCTAAATTGTAACTCTTTTTAGTGTTATTTATGGCTTTTATTGGCAAAATTTTTGGCTTTTACTAAATAATTATGAAAAAACATATACAAGATCATCAGTATCATTAAATAGACATAAAAAAATGTCAAATGTCAAAAAAAATAAATGTTTTTTTGACAGATAGAATTTTTTAAACATTTTTTCATTACTCTGGGGACTACCTAATTACTCCCTTTCAAGGAGGTGCACGACTTTCAGGACATCCTGTATTTTGATTAAAGTTACTCAACGTTTGTTATTTTTACTGTGCAAATCAGAATTAGGTACTGCGAATATACGATTATTTTACTGTGCAAAAAGTAATTAAATGCAGACTGCACCGAGTAAAGTCAAATTGATGGCTGAACGCTTTATTACTATGCAAAAAAAAATCCTTAATAACTACCTAAATAGCTTATTTCAGTATCTAATTTAATTTAATCCAGTTAATATAATTATGCTGTTATTATACTGAGGTGATGCATAATATTTATAAACTAATGGTTACGATTTAATGATCACGAACTAATTATTTATGTATTTGTATACTTTCATTCAATTTGCCTACAGTTGGCACCCCACCCCACAAAAGAATAACAGCAGTACACAAACTCTGTCAAATTAGCCCCAGTATAAATTAGGGAGCTTCAGACAATTAGCCCCAATTTGCCAACATGTCTCCAACTAATACAACCGCCAATCCGAATAAGTTTTCACGTCGGACTATGCATAAAACATTATTTTTAAATAAAAACATTGAAAAAATCTCTCTGTAGGTTGTTTTATTTTTTTGCATCGCTCGGGGATGCTGGTAACATTAACAAAACCAATTGCTATTGAACATCAATCAACAGTAAGCGGAATTCTTATTATAGAAAGTGGAGATGCGGTGAATGGAACTCCACACTGACTACTCTAATGACCCTCCAACTGGTAGAGACCATTATGTGTGATCCCTATGGACGATTCTTTCTAATGGCCCCGTGCGGCCACTTGACTTCTTGTGTCCTGGCGCCCGTCTATTGTCCTGCACCACTTCCACTCGTTATCTCTCCACCAGCACAAACGCCTCCTCAACTTTGTGCTCCGATTATTTTATCTCAGATTAGCGTCTTTACCAAACAATGAAAACTAAATTACTTATAAAATTTGTTATTGTCTTTAAACGAACGCAAACAGATTGACACAACATTTGTTACTAAACTCATTCTGCACCTCCTGTGGTAATACACTACAGTCCGTTTTTTTATTATACATATACAGGGTGTTCGGTCCATGTCGCCCCGGCTGATAACACCTAAACTTACTTCTTTTTTTCAAAAAGTAAATATTTAAGTAATAATATTCATTCTTGACTTTTTTAATAAATGTATTAAAATTTTTTAGCACATCCGGTGTTGCCGGAAATGCTACCAAATTTAGTTTTTCAAATGGAACATCTATGTTCTTTGCCCTCCAAACAATAATAATTGACATGAAAAATATTGTAAACCACTATTTATTACATTTTACGTAACACAATGCAATCAAAAAACATCTTAAATCTTAGAATTTTATAAGGAAAGATGTGAATAAAAAAATGCTTGGCTACAGTTTAATTGTTGGTTTGACAAATCTAATTTGTCAGTTTGATGAGCGAGTTCTCTTATGGAAACTCTTGGATTTTCTTCGACTGATAACAGAACATTCAGATTTCTATTTTCTTGTTCTTCACAATGAACCACAGGTTTTTTAGTTCTAGGAAGCGAACCTATTCGTCGCAGTTGTTTTTCAATTCGACTAAATTTCCAACGATTT